AATTATTCACTGCTGAATGAGCACACACCACTGAGCTGAACACTGACTTCCATCACAGACAAAGGCTTACATAATAATGATCTATTCTGCCAAATTCTATAAGGATTTACTTATTGAAAGCTTTCTTGGTTTCAGATCACTGATTCCTCTGTTTCAATACAAAGATATAAAATATCTATAAATATCTCCTAAATTTTGAGTACATTTTCCTAAATTTTTTTTTTTAAGTTGGCAAGTCTGCAATTAATTTTAAATATATTTCAAGTTACAAATTTTCCTTGGGTGCGAGTCAAATATTCCTAATACAACATGGGCCAGGCCAAACTGATTACCTCACTATAATTTAAAAATACTTACATGAGCTCTAATTCCTCTTGACATACAGGACTTTATGCAGATTTAATTCTTAGCATTCCATTTTTTAGCATTGAACAGCAACACAGGTGACAGTTTGTCTGTTTCCCTATGGGATAATGGTTTTAATTCAAAACCAAAAGAAGTTAGTCTTGTTCCAGGGTACCAGAACGATGCCCACTGCAGGGCTCCTATGCAATGAGCAAAAGACCAATAAAGAGGATCAGAGACTTATTTTTACCTCTACTTTGAGAGCCAGGAAAGCAGCCTGCCATGTCAGAGTCATTCTATGTGCTCTGCTGTCTGTAGATAATACCCATTCTCTTATGTCTCCCCTGAAATACCCAAGGAGAAAAGAAGAATGAAAGACTCTCAAAGCCATGAGAGATCAGGGCAGCAGGGGAAGAGATGATAGAAAGAATACAATCAATTTTGTAAGAGAACTTTAAAATCAGCTTGGCAGGGAGAAGACTTCAAATGGTTTGCCTCTTCAGCCCCTGCATAATACAAATTGTTGGTGTGCCAAAAGAGCTGAGCTTCTCATCACAGCATATGTGCCTTGATCTACAGATCCACCATTCTCATATTCTGTCTTTACCTGTACCTGGTAGACTTAATCTTGTCAACAAGTTTATTCTTTTTACATCTGAGGGCCAAATCAATGAAGTCTAAAATATAAAAAAAGGACTTTGATTAAATTTAACCAAAATACCACAACCAACCATTACAAAGGCATATGCACGCCACTGACTGACAAATGCGTAAACAGGCTGAGCCAAACTAAGCAGCTTATAGATGATGTTCCAAAAAGATAAACAAGCTTATTAACATATCTGTTCTGTAAGTTACAGCATAGCTGCATATTTAAGCTCTATGGTACATGACCGTGATTTAAGAGCCTATATTCCTCTGAACCCTCAGCATCAGCTTCCTATGACATGATTATTGAGTGTTTCCACAAAGAGCAGTAGAAGCCAGGAGAGACCAACGTTTTATTTAAAATTGCACAGTAAAAATGGCAAGTGATAGGTTATGGGTTTTATTAGACTAACTGAAGAAAAATGTCATCTCTTTTTTTATCCTAAGCTTTGGTTATTTTTATTTCTGTTTTCTTTAAATTTGCTTGCATTAGCCCCCCCTCTTTTTCTACAAGATTACTACTAAATAAGAAAACTGCTGGTTTAGGACACACTGAAATTGGAACATTAATTCATGTCCCTACAGATCTTGGGAAAAAGCCAATGCAAGTCCTGAACTTTATCATGATAAACCCCTGGCACCCACTAATCACAAGATTGTATCTTCACATAAGATAAGGGGAAGATTTTTGGCATGGGAATGAACACACACACCTAGCTGTTTGCAAAGGCTTGCAACCTGGCAGCCTTTCAGTAAGGTTTCACTCACATAGCTGTTACTGTATACTCTCCAGCTATGGCTGGGAAGTTGATAATCCTTAAGATATGAGGAGAGTTTTGATTTCTGACACAGCATTCCTGAGATAAATGCAGGATCAGAGAGATGCTTTGAAATTCCCAGAGATACCCCACTGGTAAACTGCTACATGGGAACAACTTTTAACAAAGTGTCTTTTAAAAAGAAAAAAAAAACAAGTTAACTCACAGGACTTGTGTTTGCCCTCAAACAATATATTAAATGCAAAACAGACACAGAAAATAAGAGAGCATCCCAAAGCCTGTTTTTCCAAACTTTCCCAATATACCTTAGTATTTTTGTCTACCCCAGAGGTAAGAGCTACTATTTCCAACTCTATTACAGTTTCTTGTATACAGGTTTTTCTTTTGCTGGTACAATTCCTTCCCACTGTTGTCACTAGGTGTCATTTCAGAGCATAAACTTGTATTTTAAGCAGAGTTGTACTATATAAAGATACAGTCACCTTCAAGTGGTCATGAAACTTTCTTGCCTATATAATTTTAAATATAAATTAATATAAGATATAAATTTGAACTATAAATGTTCATATATACAGTTATTCTGATTTATTAGCTAGTTAGCAACATGCCTTATCGTAGATCAACATATTTACCATAGATGCAAGATTGTGCATGGCACTACCTGATGATAATTGACTAGTCCACCATTAAGTACGCTGTCTACCTGACATACCCACAAAAGCAAGGAAATGAAAAATTAAGCCACCTAGAAACACAGACCTGCTGACATGCCGAGGTCAGATACAATTGCTGAAGGACAAAATATTTTATACTAGCTCATGACCTTTTCCTGACATATTTAGCCCCACCCACTAAACATGAAAAGTCACAGGAAACTAATACCCGCAAGTTATTACTGTGAAGCAGTGCAGATAGCTACATAAAGCCCTACAAAACCCCTTGCCCTCTGCTCTTCCATTCACAAGCATGGTGCAGTCTACTGCTGCAGTACATGCAGCCCTTTCACTCCTCTGTGTATATTCCTTCATCAGACTAGCTTCCTTTCAGCATCTGATACCGTAATTATGTCTCACGGTTAAGTGAGAGAATGTTGAGAGTTGTGGTTACAAATGGCTGGCAATTCAGAGTTGGGAAAAGGAGAACGGAGTCCAGCTGGGACAGTACAGCACTGGAAAAGTAAAAGGGCAAAATAGCAAGTAGTTCAACTTTTCAGTGACTTGCTTTACAAGACACACTGCAACTATACAGAGAAAAAAACACAGAACTGCAAATGACTGAAGGGCTGCTGCCAATGCCCGGTGTTTCATTAGTGTACATGTTATCAAATTAAATCTCACTGTTTCCTCTGATAAGGTTTTGTAGGTATAATCTACCTATGTCAGATATCAGGACTGCAGGTGCCCAATTACTTCCTGTCTAGTTAACCTGCTTTACACCAATTCAAATCATATTTGCACAGGCAGCACAAACCTTCAGTTTTAGCAATAGCTAAAAAATAATTCCTAAATGCCACATGCACTTCTGTACCGGTTCTCCAGACAAATGTTATTTTGTGGTTCAAATCTCTGCCGCTCAGCAATGAACAATAAGAATTTCCTGAGGAAAAACATTAGTCACAGACTAAAACATTATGCTATTTCACATCGACTGCTCACTTGCAGAGCAATAAGGAAGTGCTAAAAGCACTTGGGCAGCAGCAGGGAGAGGCATGACAAGTTCTAATTCAGTGTCCCTCTTCTACCAATTTTCCCCTTCTGCCTCCATCCTCCTACTGCTCCCAAAACAAGTCCTCCTGTTTAGCATCACAAGCAGAACACTGTATTTACTTTGAGACAAGAGCAGGGGGGCCAAATGCTAGCATACACCATCTGTGTCTAATCCAGCCAGGCAACCACCACCACCTCTTCCCCCACTAGTGATATGGCAACCTGAGTTGAGAAGGCATGCTGTGACAGCTTCATCCACACCCCTGGCAGAGCTGCACTCCTTTCTTGAGTCATCTAAGTTTGCTAGTTCGAGCAAGGCAGCCATAGACAGCAAAGACATCAGAGCCAGAGGAAGTTCAGGTAGAAGCAGATGATCAGATACTGGTATGGTAACAAGGGATCCCCTTGCACCAGATAGATCGCAGGATTTCTGGGTATGACTAAGGCTTTTTTAGAGGCAGGAATTCAAATGCTATGGGATTCTTTCCTTCTTTGATTTCTTTGTTGGTTTTGGGAATCCTGGAGAGGTAAGGAGCTAATGAGACTGAAATGTAGGGGACACCAAAATTATAATCAGGAAAGAGGGACTTCAATCTAAAAGGAAAAGAAAGAGAAACAAAGCAGGAATGATCCATTTTAAATCCACCATGGCATTTGAGTATTAAGAAAGGCAGATATTTATTAAAATGAAACAAAATTTAAAAAGCTATTACAACAACAAAGCAAATCTAACAGCTTAGGGATATACCTACTGAATGAAGCCTGAAAGATTTAAAGTAGGCCTTTAGCACCAGAAGGCAGAACACATGCATTTTCATAAATGAATATGGGAGTATTCTATAGGTAGAAGGACACCTAGATGATTACTGCATTGTTTTCAATCCATTTGTAACTATTATTAAACCAGTATTCTTTTGCAGGTGTAACAGTAACTAGATACAGCTTTGTGATCAGTACACAAGCTGATCTACACATCATTACTTTAAGTTATTTCATGTCCATTTTATTTCCCGAGTCCTTTAAAACTAGCTAAATATGCATAGTACAGCAGCACTCATCTGCAAGTTCTGCACTTAGGAAGAGGTGAACAGGAAAGACAAACAGCTTACACCTGTAATCTTTTCTTTCAGTCTTGCAGTCATTTCTAGGCAATTTATTGGCCCTCTTACCATATTGCTTCTGAGCTGTAACATGTATGGAGACAGGAAAGTTAACTCTTATAAAGAGGTGCTGGCTTCAAGACCTTCAAGTGTAACCCAATCACAAGTCATTTTTCATTTCCACAGTCCTTTGTAGCATAACATTGCATCCCATGAGTTGCAGAGCATACCTTCATGACGAACCTATGTGATGTCAGCAGACTTTGTAGTCAGAGATTCTACTTGTTAAAGCATCTTGATTATATTAAGTATTAGATGACACTGTACATCAGATCTGGCGAACTGCAGTGTAAATTTTTTCTGTTCCTCACAGATATCTTAAGGAAAATGAAATAGCCCAAATATTTTGGAAGTTACATTACCTGTCAAAGGAATGGAACTGTACAGGCTGCTCAGCAGCTCCATCGCCAAGAACTCCAAGGAAGGTTGGTGGCAGAAGAGCAGTATCCACTGCAGTCCCATCAGCTGGTGTGCTTACCAAGCTTCTCAGGATGTCCTTTACGTTGACATTTTTTGCAGGTGGCACAGAAGCTGCAGGCTTACTATCCTCTGTTCCTGTCTCACTTCTGCCCTCCTGAGACTTATTTACTTCTAATGAGAGCGTGCATAGTACTTCACTGATTGCATCTGGACCTGCACTGACATTCAGAGGTCCTGCTTCAGTAACACTACCAGAACTGTTTGTTTGCCCTGAAGCTGGTTCCTCCCCGAGACCAGAATCCCTTCTTTGTACAGATACTGTACTTTCTGAATCTTCAGTGGAGGCTGAAGGACCAACAGCAGCAGATGGGTTTTCCAGATCTGTTCATACCAAAAACAGAAAACACATTTTAAGTTGATTATTAACAGAATTGCATTCACCACATTGCTCCTAAAGAAGTAACACCAATAGGTGACAAGTGAAATAACAGCTATAAGTATTTCCTCTTGCCTACTTAGAGATTTAATATTATCTATAAGTATTTAATAGGAAACTTAGAACAGAAAAATTTCCTTCTAATTTCTGAGAAGCCTGAAAAGTTATAGCATCCAAAAATTGAGACAAGGAAATAGAAGGTATTGGCTCAACAGTCAAAGAATGGAAATTGATCGATTGCCCTAAAGAAGAATAGGAAAAAGAAATCTTACAGTGGAAGCAAAAAGCTGCCAGTCTATGCTTATGCATACTTAACCTTATGCAAAATAGTAATGTTTCTGCAACAAGCATTTGTGAATACTTAGCTATTTCAGTGAGACTAACCACATCTACACCGCAAAATCAACGTATAGATTAGGTTCTTCTCAGATCAGAAAAAGATTCACAAAAATACTGAGGCAAATTGAATACTATATTGTTTACTTATGTGGTTACAGTGTGCATATTTCTATACAATTTCACATGGACTTCTACAGAATTTTGAGATGCATAAGCCACATTATTTCATTTGGCCAAATGATTAACAGTTCACCTGTAGCAGGAGTTTCATTATTTTCATTCTCTGATTCCTTGAATGACTGACTGTGGTTTGGTGGTCGTCTTTCATTCTGGGGTTCCAGTATATCTCTGTATTTTGAAACCATGAGCACAGATATAAAATACACAACAGCCAAAGCCAAAAACTGAGCCTGTTTACTGTCCTCCTGTAAAAAAAGGACACACACACAGATTTTTCCATTACAATTTCAGCAGCATGTTTATTTTTCTGTAAAGTATGCCCAGCACTACCATAAACAGACCAAGAGTAAGCTGATATGTCAACAATGGAAGAACAATATTCTCTAGTCAGAGTTTGTCTCACCTATAAAGCTAGGGAATGCAGCAACTGTATTCAGATGGCACTAATCCTTTCATTTTTCATTTATAAATATGACAACTCTAACTAAAGATTGTGTGTTTTGAATACATGCTTCGAATTAGTGCAGGGACTAGATCCCCTTTATTTATTTACAGGTGTTTCCTCTATTACGTTTCTTCAGATGCACCAAGATATTAACAGCATTTGCTGTGAAGTACAATCAGGCAAGCGTACTCACCAAAACTGTAAAAGCATTTCTAAACTATTATATATTAATGAAGGAAGTGGAAGAAATCCCAGAACCAATGTTAAGGTTTTATTTCATTATCAGATTGTTCAGATGGATGTACTGTACTATGTACAATTTAAACAAGAATTGGCAAATATGCATTTGCATTACAGCTGCAACTTTATGAAGAGATTTTAAGAAAATCTTAAAAACAAAACTTAATATGAATTATGCCAGGTACCTCCCCAGAGTACTCAGTCACTCCTAGTGAAACAGAGGAAAGAGCCACATTCCAGATCTGACTAGATGTTATGATTTAGCCTAAGCCTATCCCCTTTGGCTGTTAAAGGAAGAAAAGCTTTGTACACTTTGGGATCACAGGAGAACTGAATATTTGGATCCTCCACTGATCAATCAGTAAAAGCAAGTGTGTTTGGGGTTTTTTTCCCCTCATTTACATAAGGGCTCAGGCAGCATTCAAATTTTCCCTCTAAGCAGTTCAAGAAGGTAAGTTAAAACTATAAAGCTCATTTTATCATGCTTGTAGTGCCTATTGAAGCCCCACATTCCATGAAGAGTTCTTTATCAAGCTATACCGGGAGAAGTTTAAGAGAAGGTCTCTATTAAGAACTAGATAACATCAATGGATCCTATCTGTTACACTGAAAAAACAACCTATAATCCCCTTGATTCAACCCAAATCCTTAACTTTCAGAGAACAAGACAGAAACAGTAAGCTAATAACAGGTTAGCATCAGGCAAGCAGTATGAGACTGATGAAAGTCCCCTACAATGGTAAGGATTATAAAGAATTTTCTTGCTAGATGAATTTTTGCAAAACAGTTTCCAACTGTACTTAATAAAGTGAATTAGCAGTGATCCAGTGAATAAGCACCACCCCTTCCTTAATTTTTTTCTGCTATGTTTGTAGAATTCCTTGAAATAAAGTTCATATACTACTGAAAGTACTACTGGTGATGGTTAAGTGGAATCCATCTGAGTTACTCCTGTACTGGTTCAAATTGTGCCAATCACAATTCTGTGTGCTGAACAAAATGTAAGAAACTGCATGCAAATTGAACATAAAATATTTAGATGCAAGTATAAGCAGCTGAGATAAAAACTGTTCCAAAACAGATCTTTTAAAGTCTAATTTTTTTCCACAGCTCAACACAGTAGCCAAAAAGCAGAGTTATTGCATCATTTCATATTTGTTCGTGAAACAGAAAACCTAGTGGATTAGATACGCAAAAAAAGAAAAAAAAGCAGAGGTTGTGTGTGTATATTGGTTTTTTTAAAAGAAAAAATGACTACACAAAATTTGCTTGATTTTGAAGATTGCATCATTAAGATTATTTCAGTTGCCACCAGTATGGAAGATTCACTTCCTATTACTCTTTTGCACACTGACACTGAAGTAAGGGTTGAAAGAAGCTTGTTTCAATCAATAGTTGCTGTAAAGATAAAAACCAAAGATCCTTCACTATTCTGGATAGAACAAAAGTCACTATGTAAATCATTATACTTGCTAAATAGTCCAATTATTGTAAAATAAGTTCTGGTGTCCAAGCTTGTGGCCACCAATGACTCACAGGCATCATAGCTGCTGTATTCGCTTACAGAGATGGTTTTTTTAAGCAATCAATCTCAATTTCCTCAATATCAGCTATAAAGTTGCTGACACAGGGAAAAGATATTTTTAGTCAATTCAAGACTCAAAAGCATATGCATATTTACAGCACATGCACACAAATTGGTTCCTCTGAGGGGAAGTAAAGGAATTAGAGATGACCTCTAATTTTTAATTAGCTAGAAAGATACTCATTTTTCATAAAGTATACATAAACATCTTTATGATACATACTATACATAAACAGTTTGTCCATGTACACCATGTGAAAGTATGTATTTGTACTAAACACAACGTATTTCATATACAATAGGCAGAATTCCAAAGAATCAGCTCTTAGGAACACACTGAAGAGCCTGATTGGCAGGCAGCAATTTTAACCTCTCCCTCGTTCCAAACCCAAACACTACAACAGCTGCAGAGTATTACAAGTTCCTAATTGCTGCAAGCAGTGTTCATTTTTTGTAAATTCAATTTAGCCAAACTGCGTAACACATAGCAAGTGTTCAGCAAACAGATATACGCAGAAATCCAGCTATAAAGAAAACAACAGTATCTGTAACTTACTATATCTCTGAACACTACTGCTCGAAGTCGATTAATATCCATATCCTGCAGAAGTCTGTCATGGTCTCGTATTGGAGAAATGCCACCAGTCACAATGTCCACTGGACTCTATTTAAAAAAAAAAAAACCAAAACAACCAAACCAATTGTTTCAAATTCTGTTTTTAAAAGTATTCTACCAAGAATCATTAAGTGCGTACAATCACCCACTGTACATCATATTGTCATAACTAGAGCACAAAGATCAGATATGCATTTCTTATTTAAAGGAATTAAAAAAAAATCTGGCAAATTCTCATGACAGATTAATTTCACTGTGAGAGGTTAAATATCTAAATGTTAAATTCACATCTTGGAAAAACTACTTCAGGATTTCCAATGTTCATGCCCTTCAGCTCTATTAAAGTATCAGTAGTGCAGGTATAAATTTAAAAACTTATCCCGCCATACAGAGTAATAATTACTGGCTCTTGTGTTCCTGAATACGGTCTTATACTTACCTTTGCTGCAGACTTTCCTGTTCCTGTAAAGCCCTGCACTGTTTTTTGGTTCTTCACAATGTCTCCAATAGGCTTCATCCGTGCATGCTGCTGACACTCCAAGCAATTTCTTACTGCTACCGCACATACTTGAAGGGAGAAGAAACGTGAAGAATTACTCTGGGAAATAGTATTGTCTATATGCCTTACAGAGATGTGTAATACACTTCTGTCTATCACTTCAACTAAAAAGTTGAAGCACATCAGTAAAATGATATTTTGCTTCCATAAATTTTAAATAGTCACCAAACCAATGCTCAAAATTCTTTAATAATTTATAATTAATAATTAATACTAAACTATTAGAACATGTATGCTATATCTAATGGATACTTCAAAGTGAGTAAGTTAGCATCCTTCATTGAAAATTTACCATACATACAACCATGGCACGGGGAGAGTGAAGACAGCTAATTTCACAGACTAGCAAGGAAGAAAGACAAGTGATACACTAGTGAAACAAATGGCAACGTTTGCTTCACAATGCTCTGTTACTCTTGGACTAACGTTCTGAAGTTACACGATTTATTTTCTTAGCTTCACAATTATACCTGTTTCATCTTCTAACATTATTTTCAAAGGAGAAAAGAACTACCCCACCTCTATACCTGTTTGCATCCCATAAATCTTGTTCTACGTGTACAAAGTTTTGATTGCCTAGAAAGGGAGAGGATTGAGGCTCTGAGCTGCTCTGGCACTCATGCAAATTAAACTTTTCATTACAAAAAGTCTTACAGCATGCAATTAGCAGGAATACTCTCCTCCTGTATTAACTGAACCCAGTTATGATCTTGTATATTCTCATTTCCAGAAGAGCCATTACTTTTTTAGATAATGACCACTTTCAACCCAATTTGATACATACTATAATATTGGGTACAACTACTGCCCAATTTGAACCCTACTCTTTAGAAATTTACATCTCTAGTTTTCTTCATACTTTCATCTACTGACCTCACGATTTAAACCTCTTTTCTACGTATTGTAAAGGTTCATGTTGTTGTACAGAGTATAAGATTTCTTTTTCTTAAAGCTGCCACATTCTCAGTCTTGACTGTTTGGGGAACTTTGTCAAAAGAAATATCTTCATGGATAAAATGAAAATTTGCATCCACAACAGTCAGGCTACCAAACTTAAAAATTTATTTTACTTAAACTTTTTAAAGAGGAAAAGGACCCCATATATATGCATTGAAGAATACAGTAATAGTAAAATAGTAAAAGATCCCAATGCTTCTTTGAATAAATTTAATCTTGATTTAACAAAAAAGGAGAGGGGGGAAAAAAAAAAAGGTAACATTTCCTAACTATTTAGTAACAGCAAGCTCCTATGCTCCTTAAGTGTTTTTATTTGCTTACCCAGACGAAGACATTGTCGCAGAATTCCTCCAGATGACATATTTTTCTCAGACTCAATTTCAGTGAAACCAAGAGAGCTTGCAAAAATTAGCACATCCACAAGGCTGATTAATCTCTGGAGGAACGTTAAAGATGCTTCTACTGAAAGTCCTTGAGTTGGCTCAATATTCTCCAATTCATGCTACACAGAGAAAAATTGAAAGCAACATTTACTTCTTCACAAAGGTGATATTCCTACAACTTCAATGAAAAAGAAGTATCCTGGAAGACCATTTTCAGTCACATGCAAAAGTGGTAATTAGTCACATTCTAGTTACAATTATTAGTACTGGGATTTAATCCCATTCCAGACCACTGTGAGACAATGAAGCCAAGCAACTTCTTTTTATGTCTTCAGGCAAAGAGGGCAGGCACACAATTTATCTTAGGGAAAGCACAGAGGTAGCAAAGGGAGGAAAGAGATGCTTGTGGAAATATCCCACATGCATTCTTGTTTCCCAAAAGGACAGATATAATAGTTAATACACTGCATAAAGAAAGGCATCCTCCCACAAGAGACAAATTTTCAAATAAAAATGAAATTTCTTACAGTAGCAGACGTAGCAGCAGAAAGCAATGGCAATATACCACCACAAGCCATGATCATGTTGTCCATCACTTGAGAGATGAGATGAATTGTGTTGTGCACAAATATGACATTGTCACTGCTATTCACAAAGTCCATCACAGTTTTTGTAGAATGGCTGTCCAAAAAAACCATTCAGAATACAGGTTTATTTCTGTGGTATTTTAGCATCTTTATGCTTTCATAAAACTGAAACAAGAGAGTTAGCAATGGGGCAGCAAGTAACACATGACTGTAAGGGTCAACTGATGTACCTTAATCTAAACCTAAAACTACCTTTCCTTTCTGTTCTTAAACCTCTCCAGATCACACTTAGCTAAAAACATCAAGATATGTGTTAATCATCATTTGGATAAAGACACAGTGACTTTTGCTATAGCAAGTAATCATAGACCAGCCTATAATATATCAGGCAATACAATAGTTTCCTGGAAGTGTGAACTAGATCTTGAATCTTTGGAAAAATAAAGCAAATACTAAGGGCTTCTCAGAGAAATTAAAAATCAACAAAACACAAAAAATTAAATCCTGTTAAACATGGAAATAGATTTTCAAAACAGAACCTAAACTAAAAATACATTTTAGCTACATCCAATTATGTCTTGAGAGGTTAATTTAATCACATCCTAAAAATTAGTCAGACAAAAATTCACCGCAGTTTAAATCGGTTTTAATCACTTAAGTACTCTATTTCTTCATCCTTACATTCCTTTTTATCAGGTCAGTACAGCTATACAGTTCAATTTAAATTTGACATTCACTACTACAAGCTAGTAATAGACACCACTCTTATTTAAGTTATTAAATCTTAATGCAAAATTACCACGGTTTTCAAAGTTTCCTTTTTTTACTAAATTCAACTTAATGATTACATTCCAGATACCTGTTACAAGTTAATTTTTAAAGGCGTAGAACATCTCTGTTCATAGAACCCTATCAAAGCAGCAATATAGTGTGTGTAAATGCAGACATAATAAATACTATTTGGGATAGATTTTTTTTTCCTCCATATTCAGATACTAATAAAAGATGCAGGCCCTTACATACATTAGGAACATGAAAATCACGGTCCAATAAAAATCAACAGCAAGACTGCCATTGACTTAAATGTAGCCAGGATTTCAGTCAAAATATATGTGCAGGCCCTCAACCAAAACACATTTATGTCTGTGAAAAGCCTTAAAAAAAAAAATCTGAGACTATTTGTGTATAGGTCACAAAATAAGTAAAGCTATTGAATAATGAGTAAAATATCAGATGTGCAAAATTCAAAGTCAAAGAGCGACTCTGATGCAGTTTCAACAAAATCTCAAGTTAATTATAATTGAAATACCAGTCTAGATCATTCCATATAAAGCATAGAAATTTACCTTCTCCACATCTGTATATCTGTTTCTATGGAAAAGAGTAAGTCTGTGAGCAAGCGTTGATGCATCAGTGACCACTTAAACTCAGGAATACGGAACACAGTTGACCTAGAGTCTCTTCTCTGCCCATCTGATGAAGCAGCTAGCTCTTGTCCTGAAGAATCTTGCTGCCTTGAGGGCTGAATACACAGTTTGCAGACAAAAGAAACCCCACACTCTAGTTATTAGTTTCCATGGAATACACTGAAATGCATTTAAGAGACTTGAGATTTTAGATATTCAACAAGTTTAGACTGTGTACCATGTTACAAATAAAGCTAAAACTATTACACAAATGCTATTTAATAGATATACCAAACCTACAAACTAGTCTACAGCTGCACTACCACACCTGTCAGTCCAGGCATACACAAGAAGCAACCCAACCTTACCACAGGGGGAGTATATGTTGCTGTAGACAGTGGTTTTCCTCCTTTAAGGAAGAATGGTGCAGAATGAAGAGCATCCATTAGCAGGTATCTCTGCAGAAGGGAAGTACTGAGATACATGACTATTTAACCATGAAAAGCTGAGTTAGAAACTAGAGACTAGAGGAGTGGAGCACTGCGGCATGCAACAGAAACCCAGTTTTAAATGACACTTGCACAAACGAGGTAGGCTGACGTGATGGAGTGACAATCATATCAAATTTTATAGTTTCAAATATATATATATATATATATCACGTACCTGCAGAGTAACTAGTGTAAAAAATATTTTCACAAGTTCCATCAGGATATCAAAGAAACTTAAATGTTATTTTTTCCTGCACAAGCAATGTTTGCTTCTCAATAATTACGAGTTGAGATTATAGGAGACCAGATTGTAAAGAGTAAAAGGAAGGTTGAGTAAAGAAGCAGAAGAAATTGTAAATAAAATCCTCTCAGAATATATGTTTCTTTCAATTCTTCAAACTTAAGAAGTATCAACACAGACAAAGTGTCCATCTAGCCAAATACTCAGTCTCCATCAGCATCCGTAAGTGCATGTACAAAGAATAAAACCTTAGAGACTTCTCAGTACACAAATTAGTAAGAATTATGCCTATTTTAATCAGGGGTTGAAAGTATTCTTTAGATAACTCACAAAATCCACACACATTAAAATCCCCAAAATGTGTATAGGCACACTTTTTCAAAAATCTCACAAAATAAGAACTTCCTTTTATTTTTAAGCTAGACAGATGAAGGATAGGTAGAATTTACCTCAGGTATGGATCTAGGGGGCAGAGGTGCTTCTAGACATGTGTTAGCTTTCAGTTCCAGTCTTTCTGTATCTGATGCAACACTAGAAACATCAAGCTTGGCGATTCTTTTCTCAGAGGCTCCAGCAGGCTCTGGCACATGTGCATTTGCATTTTCTTCAGCTGTTTTGCTTTCACTAAAAAGAATCTTTTCTTCCTCCAGCTTCTTCTTCCCTTTCAAATCCGGTTGAGTTGCTACTTCTTGAACTGCGGAACTCACTGTCTCTGCTAAAGAAGTCAGTTCTTGTTTTTTCTCATCCACACCTTCAGTATCTTCAGATTTTAAAAGCACAGATTCACGTTGCTTCTCTATTGCTTTTTCCTGCTTTGTCACTTTGTTTTCATTAGAGCTACGTTCCTTGTTCAATTCTGCATACTCTTCTGAAGGTAAAGGCATACTACTTTCCTCTTTTAAATCAACAAAGTCATCCTCATCTTCCATATCTACTGTTGATTTTTCCAGTCTTTCTGGACTTTCAGGAGTTTCTCGTTCCAAAGTAGTTTGCATTGCTAAAGAAGCAGCAGTGACAGCTACTGTTTCTTCCTCAAGCTCATCAGCTTTGCTCAAAGAATCTTCAATTGCTTCAGCTATTCCAGTACTAATTTCTGAAACACTGGTCTTTATTGTTTCCGGTTCTGGAGAAAATTCTGCACAAGGCACTGCTTTTAAATCCTGTGTAGTCTCCCCGTCTTCCCCCTCTAACTCCTCCCTATGATTAGACACTGAATGAGTTTGTTGGTCACCATCCGATGAGGTATTTGTCTCTTTTTTTTCAGTACTGCACTCAATATCATCAATAACGCAGGAAGGAGCAGTAGCATCTTCTTTTAACTCCAAACATTGTTGCTTTCTCTTGATTTCAGCTTCTTTGCTAACTCCAGAGATTGTTCTAATTGGAGCTGAAGCCCGTATTCCACTCCCTTCACCTCCTTTCCCTTGGTACTCCCTGTACATTTGAGAAAGACTCTCTTTGTGCATTTCAAAAGTTACCTAGAAGAACAGAATTGAAAGTACATTAAAAATTATACATTAATGACTGTTTTATCTGAAAAAAAAAACCTAAAATAATTTCTCAAATCACAAAGTTATACTACAAATTTATATTGGATACTGTTCTCATGATACAAAATAATTTCACATTGGAGATCACTTCAACTGAGAGCAAGTCTTTCTTAAGTGTACCTGTTATTCCTGGCCAAAAGAAAGAAAAGAAAAAAAAAAAAGTAACACCAAAGTAAAAAAAATCCTAGACTGATCCTAAGGATAGGAAATTAAGTGTTTACTAGAAGTACTCAGTTTTAAAGACTACTTCTAGTAAAAGAAGTGAAAATGTTTAAAGTTTAATACTTACAGTTAACACTTGCATTGTTTCCTAGGTTAATTACAGTGATCTGTAATTAGAGTTATCTGTGCTACTTGCATTCAGGTAATTGTATAGGATACAGATAAAAATGCGACAGCATAACATCCAGAGAGTTACTGAATTTGAGATAGCTGACAATCTCAATTTTTTTGTAAGGGGGGACACTGTGACAAGTAGCAGGAACACTTACTATAGTTGAGCTTTCACATCATTTTAGCACCTTGAGCATGCTCAACAATCCACAAAGATAAATAAACTTTCGAGAAGTTTACATTAAAAAGAAAAAAATCTCACAAAGTCAGAGCAGAGAGAAGCATGTAACAAAGCTAAAACCCTGGGGATCTCCAAATGATACCTAAAATTCTTCAGAGGACTTTTCCTCTGGTGAATGCTATTTACCAAGTCTAAAAGGCACATGAGAACAGCTACACAATCCGATTAAAGCGAGAAGATCTTCCTATGGATGAGCTGAAAAAAATTATTGTTGTTTTTAGATATATATAAAAATTCCAGATAGAAAAATTCTTTATATACATACTGATAAAACTAATTTGCCCAAAAAAATAGCTGTGTGTTGAAAGAAAATCTTACTAGACTAACTGAAGTTTTTATTATGCTGTCATTCAATTTAGTTTATCCATACCTTTCTATTTAGGGTTTAGATTTATCTTCTACAACAGAAGTGTTTGTTATCTGTAAGCTTAGTTCTCAAAATTTTCCCAACATATAGGCTGCAGCTGAGGGTTTTATTTTTTTTAAACCATTTTCCTTATCACAAACATCTTCCATAGACAAAGCAGAGCAGTACATTTTACTAAACATATGAATACATATTTTCTTATTCTCTTACATACTAAACTCATTCATTTGGATCTCATCTAAAAATTCCACATACATGGTAGTCAAAGTGACGATTAGTCAGTAGGAATATTTTCTCTTAGGATGATACATGTAAGTCAAAAACTAACTTGACAGGTTAAAAAGGTACTAGAAATTATAGTTAACAAATCAGGAGGAGCAAAGAAAGAACAAAGGTAAAAAGGAATATTCTTGGCAGGTTGTGTTGTCAACATTATCTTTTTAACATATTATTTTCTCCATCAATCAAATATAAATTAAAGTATTGTAGGAACAGTGTACTATTCTAACATGACCTGAAGCATGTTATTTGTTCAAGTTGATTTAATTGAAACTTGAGCCTCTAGCAATAGAAATGGGATATCTTCCTCCTCCTGTTTAAAAAAAAGTCTTCCTATACTAGTTTTAAACCAGTTATGTATAAACAAAAAACCATGAATGATTACAAATAACTGAAAGTTCATCCATCTGTCACAATGGATCTATAAAATATTTGACTATAGGTTATTGCTAAAGTGGGGGGGCGGGGGGGGCGCACGGCACATTATTATTTTAGAAATACTTCCTTCCAGAACTGTATCACAGTCAGGTTGTCAAAAGCAACCCAAAATATATCATGCTAATAAGCTCTCCCTTGCACTTTTATTTGTTTTTTTTTCAAAAACATGATTAGGCAAAGCTGCTACTTTTGGTCAAATCATTACTTTTGTGAAGAAGAAATCTTGACAGCTTGACCTTATGTCCAGCTAGCTTTCCCTCTTCTCTCTCTCCCTGTTGCTTCCTCCATTTCCAAAACTACTAAAAAGTTTTATTCCAACAAGTACTAGAGAGACATTCAACAAATAAAAATACCGTTGGTTTATTTCAGCAAAACTTACCGTATGTACTTCCCAGAAAGTACACGAACCCCACAGTAGGTATAGCATGTTACCTACACAATGCAAGTATAGCTGTAACAAATCTGTGGTAACATAGCTACCTTTATCCATTTCTGTCCTCAGTATCAGACTTGTTATTGCAACATTCATTTTAAAAAATACATGGGAAAAATGACTCCTCAAAAGTATTTGCAGGCTTTAGCTACACTGCATACTTACTCTTTTAACACTGTTAAGCTACATCCAAGTATGAGACCTGGATTCTACTCTGGTTATGCAGTGCTTCCAAGACTTTGAACAAGTCTCAGGTCTAGCCTCAAAATCTTATTTCACTAGTTTCCTTGAACAAAGGCAAAGCAATACAAAGATGAAGATAAGAACGGCACTGCTGCGGCCATTTCTCCCCAGTACAAATGGGGATAGGCATGATGATGCTAAGATGATCACAAGATAGTGGCTGGAAGGACCTGTTACAAAACATGATTTCCTTCAGTGCTCAAACTTGAGTGCAATGGAGAGTAGTACATGACTCTCAGAATCTGTTCAATAACAGCAACAATTCAATCTTAATGGAACTAATCATAGAGATATTTTGCAGGGCTGGCAGTTACTAAATCCACCTTGCAAAAAGAGCACATTCACAGTGTTGCAAGAGTTTCATCAAGCAACACTTGATGCTTACACCAGTCCTTACAAAACACAACAAGCTTTAACAGCAATATAAAGTTCTAAGTTCTGGCAGCCCTATCTAAGCAAGTGCTTTGATAAATTACCAACCTGGTTAAAGTAAATTGCAAGCATCAAAGAATATAACTTTAAACATGTTCTAAAAGCATATCATCAGTTCTGTTACAGCTGCCTTCCCCTAGCACTTCAAGGAATCACTGAGGTGAAGGCCAGAAAGTAACATCAGATCATCTAGGTCAGCCCTCAATTTTAAGCCACTTTCCTACACTTAAGCCCAGTAACATGGATTGGATGACAGCATCCAGAAAGTGGTCCAGCCTTGGTTTTAGAAATCAAGAGATGAAATGTCCCCTGGATCATTTGTTCAAATCTACTCTATCATCTTAAAAAAAAAAAAAAAAAAAAAAGTATCATTCTTCATTTTGAAAGTCTAGATTCAATTCAATTTCTAGTCACTAATTATGTCTGTATTTCCAAGTTATTAAAAATACCTTGATGAGGAAGAAATACCATGTTTTCAAAGGTGTTTTTTTTCTTTAACATATTATAACATTGTTTTTAAAAGCCCAAAAGATGGAGAAGTAACAGGACCATCTAAAAAGAATGAGCTTTCATTCTGAAGGACTAGAATCCTTCCTGTGACCCCCTTCTGTAACCTTTCCAGTGTTTCAAAAAATTTTTAATACTGTGAACATCCACATTTTCATGCATCATTCCAGTCTAAGTCTCACTAAACTTATATGCAGGAGTAAAAGCAACCTACCTCATAGCTTCCCACTTTCCACTCCATGAACACATTCTACAGTGCTGGCAACTACTTCTGGAGAAATGGCCATTTAGTCTCAGTTTGTATAACCTGTGAAGTACTGTCTTTCTGTAATGCTGATTTTTTCCTAGTGTGCTACCAAGCCAATCCCATTTATAAAAAAAGCTGATTGCAGCTTCAGATTTTCTCTTACCAACCAAATTGATCATCTTGTTAACAGCATTAAATCAACCTTCCTTGAAAATAAGTCAAAATCCGCTGTCCGTAAGCCCAGGGTTGTGAGCTTGATTTTGCTCTCCTCCCTCCCCTTAGGATCCTGAACTCCACAATCTCATGGTCACTGCAGCCAAGGCTGCCTTTGACCTTCTCATTCCCAACAAGCCCCTTGTTGTTGGTAAGTATGAGGGTCCAGCAAAACACCTCTCCTCATTGGATCCTCTATCACTTGGAAGAGGAAGAAATTGTCAATGAACTCAAGGAACCTCCTGGATTGCTTATGTCCTGCTGTGTTGTCCCTCCAGCATACATCAGGCCCATGAGGGCCAGGGCCTGCGAACATGCAGCTGCTCCTATCTATCTGTACAGGACCTCATCTGCTTGTTCCTCCTGGTCAGGCAGCCTTTAGCAGATGCCCACTATCATAGAATCATAGAATCATTTCTGTTGGAAAAGACCTTCAAGATCATTGAGTCTAACCATCAACAATGCCCACTAAACCATGTTCTGAAGTGCCTTGTCTACGCGCTTTTTCAATACCTCCAGGGACTGCGACTCAACCACTTCCCTAGGCGGCCCGTTCCAATGTCTGACAACCCCTTCAGTAAAGAAATTTTTTCTAATATCCAATCTAAACTTCCCCTGCTGCAACTTGAGGCCATCTCCTCTCATCCTATCTCCAGCCACCTGACAGAAGAGACCAGCACCCACCTCACTACAACCTCCTTTCAGGCAGTTGTAGAGAGCGATAAGGTCTCCCCTCAGCCTCCTTTTCTCCAGACTAAACAGCCCCAGCTCCCTCAGCCGCTCCTCGTAAGACTTGTGCTCCAGGCCCCTCACCAGCTTGGTTGCCCTTCTCTGGACACGCTCCAGCGCCTCAATGTCTTTCCTGTAGTGAGGGGCCCAAAACTAACACAGTACTTGAGGTGAGGCCTTACCAGTGATGAGTACAGGGGGACGATCACCTCCCTGCTCCTGCTGGCCACACTATTTCTGATACAGACCAGGATGCCGTTGGCCTTCTTGGCCACCTGGGCACACTGCTGGCTCATATTCAGCCGGCTGTCGACCAGCACCCCCAGGTCCTTTTCTGCCAGGCAGCTTTCCAGCCACTCTTCCCCAAGCCTGTAGCGCTGCATGGGGTTGTTGTGACCCAAGAGCAGGACCTGGCACTTGGCCTTGTTGAACCTCATACAATTGGCCTCGGCCCATCGATCCAGCC